TCATGGTGAGCAGTGATTTTGATATCAAGGTGGAGATTGTTGGATTTGGTGCTATCTAAAACCACCCACTTAAGAAAATCCCATCTTTTGTGGGATTGATTGAGATTGATCTATATTATGTGGGATTGAGATATTCTCATATGATATGAGATTCAGATATTCCTATATTATGCGGGATTGAGATTGCTATTGATAAGTTTCCTGAGGTAAATAGAAATCAAAAAAGGACTAGGACTCTTGAATATATCTCTAGGTCTTTTGAGATATATGTAAGATCTATAGGAAGTTTCATATTTAGCATGGATTTCTAACCTTATATATATGGGATGAAAGTTTAAAGAATTTGTGTGCCTAATTTGGGTCACCATATGGGAATGTTGGTTCCTTTAAAGAGAGAGCGAGGCAAAACTTGCTTTACATAAGATGTAATTTCCTCTTAGAGAAGAGAGTTTCTTATGAAGAAAAACATTGATGGTGCCTCCTGAAGACTCTTGCATAGTGAGATGTTGATTTCTTGTAGAGAAGCAGTTCCGATAGAGATTTTTGGGTTGTTCCCCTTTTAGTTAGAGATAAAGTCAGTTTCTCGTTGCTCTCAGGTCTCTATTTGGTGTTGTCGGTAATGATTGCTAGAAGTAAAGAGAATGAATGAATAATAGTTTGAAAGGGTTTGCTCGATTTGTGTTTTTATCGAGGTTTAGAGAGGTAAGTCTTTGTTCCAAAATCTTTGATGTAACTTTCATTGGTATAGTGGATTTCAGTTTGTCATACCTGTGGATGTAGCCCTCCTACGTAAATCTTTGTGTTCTTGTCGTATGTGTTTTATATTTTATTTCTCAAACTTTATTTACCAAAAATCAACCTATTGGGTTTAAAATTTATGCGCGCAACAGGGAGGCACCTAAAGACCTAAAAAATGAGGAAAGGAGAAAGGGAAAGTAAACTCTTCCAAAGGGGCACCTCAAAGAAATTTCCTAAAACTTTGGGAAAGGATAATAGTAAGATAACTCTTCTAAATAATAAGACACATTCGTAAAGAAAAAAAGAGTGAGGTTTAGAGATTTTAGGAAAGAGATAGAACTAAAAAGAAAGAGGGTTAGAGATTTTAAGAAAGCGATAAAGAAAGTGAGAAATTCAAAAAAAAGGGCGATATTTAAAGATTTAAGTATAAATATCTCTATATATATCTGTGTCACTCACTATATTTTTAAGAAATGATATTTCATTAATATATTTAACCCCTAGTATCTTCATGTGCATCTTTCTCTCTCTCTCTCTCGCTATCCATCTTGGTGCTCTAATAGAATATTATTAACTAATTTCTATGTGAATGAGTATTTTCTATCTCTGTACAACTCTCTCTCCACACATCACTTTTAAGAAGTTCCATGTCTCTCTATATCCATCTCTCTATACATTGAAGTTAGGAAATTCTTATTTCTCTATCCAAATCTCTCTCTCAAATTTGATTATTCTACAATAGGTGTGTACTCTGTCTCACTCTTCCCTAAAAGATGGGATTGTATCCAACAATCTCTATAGAATTAGGCCTTTTTTTATTTTCATGACATGTATTCACCCCCTTAACTCTGGTTTAATACTGTAATATAGATAAAACATGTTTTGTAGAGAAAGAAAATTAGGATATATAAGAGAAAGTGAGTTTTCTATAGTCCTTTGGGTGAGCTGTCTAGAGAGAGAAATTGTGTTTGAGGGTCTTGTGAGAAAGAACTTGTAATTCCTTGTATTCTCTATACTTGCATGGTGTTTTTCTTATTAGTATAAGAGAATTTTTTTGCTCTGTGGATTTCTAGACAGGGAGAGAGGAAGTGGGGAATAGATAGTGGGAGGAGATGGGGTATTGGGGGAGGTAGGGAGTACAAAGTTGAGGCACTCTCAAGAGAGAGAGGGGAAGCACACGGGGAGGGAGACAGAATAAAAGAGTTCATAGAATGAGACATGAGTGTTTGGGTTTTAGAGAGGGAAAACATATTTTTGGATCTTGAAAAATCTAAAAAGGGGGCAATTTGAGAATGTAGTAAAACATGCCCACAAATTGAATACGGATCTTGCAACCTATAAAACATAGATAAGATTTAAATATTGTTAAAATTTTGAGATATATATATATATATATATATCACATCTAAGTCTTATCCTAACTATTTGAAGTTGGCTACATGAATCCTGTTATGCCATTCTGTTCATAGATTCAAAATTCATGATAAGATTTGACAAAGTTTTATGCTAACTTCCCTATACATTCCCTAAAGACGATGTTCATAAACAATTAGAAGGCACAATTCAGCCTTTAATCCTTTATATAAAACTACCAAAGTGGACAGGTACCAACACTATTGAACCCACAAGTTCATTAGAGGTAAGTTCTCCCAACAAGCAGTTTATAGCAATCTTCATGGATCTTCACTTCCGTTCTTTTCCTTTGAAAATTAGATATTCAGAAATGGGTCAAATTCACCATTTGAGCCTCATTATCAATAGGCAGCTTATGGTTTTGTAGTGTTTTCAGGTTACATCAGAGAGAGAGAGAGAGAGAGAAGCGGGGGAGGACAGAGAGAGATGGAGAGAGAGAGAAAGGGAGGGAGAGAGAAATGGTTAAATTCAATATTGTATGTGGGGTGGATGCATCAACCAACAATAGAAGGATTTAAAAACCCTAAGAAGTTGCCATCTTTGTCCAAACTCCCCACAAAACATCACACAGTTTAAAAGCATTGTGGCTCCATCCATGGACTTGTTAACTGCCTTTGATGTCACCATGATCGCCGGTTAATTTGATAACTTTGCTTAAAATTCATTTAATATCTTCCAAAGTCTACACCGGCCCTCTAATTTTTATGCACAAGTGGAGGACCCTGGTTCGAACAAAAATTATTAAATAGTTAGGTATAAAGAAGTAGTAGTGACCACGCAAGAGAGAGAGAGAGAGGGGATATTCAGAGGGGCCGACAGAGTTTCGGCCGGCTGTTAAATGAAACGAAACATACTGAAATTTTACAAAAAAAATTTTTTTTTACAAGAAATATCATTAAATTTTTCATGGTACAAAGAGAAGCCAAAGCTCCAATGATTGAGTTCGGCAAAGGAGAATAACAAGCCTTGGGCGCCTAAATTAAATTGCATGTCCCCTAGTGCTACTATCTCAAAAGAATAAAACTAAAGGAATGATACCACCTTCTTCTTATGTTATTCTAATTCTTATTATATTAATATTATTCTTAAAGCCCCTCCTATTCAAGACAAGAGGGTCTCTAATCTTCAATTTATTCTAAAATAATATTATTCCTGACCCTACAAGAAGGATAAATAATTAAGATAGCTCTCATATTTTCTAAGTATCCAATTTGCCCCTTATCTGAGCAAGATAATTCATTTTTAAGGATGACCCATTTCTTAAATGAGTGTATATACTGTACTCCCATGGGAGCAATACAGTACACCTAATCTCTTTGGTAGAAGATATGAAATTTTGTGAGCCACCTAAAAGTCGCTAGATGATTATTTTTAAAAGAAAAAAAATTTGAATTTGAAGTTACACCTAGATCTCACTCTCATACAATTTGACGATCTGTTGAATCTTGAGATTTTTTTATTTTTAATTTTTTTTTATTTTTCAAGGGCATAGAGAGTACAATTTTGAAATTTTATTTTTTTGAGGAAACAATCTATAGGTTGAAGATGTTACATCCGTAAAATTTAGTACCCTAAAATTACTCACAGGTTAGATTTTACCTGAAGGATTAAACATAGATGATGTTCCTACGAGAGCATCATATATATTTGATTCTTAAAAGAAAAGACTATTTTATACCAAGGTCATCAACAGGGTGAGATGGTCGCATCAATGTGTGTCAAAAGGAGCTTGTGTAATGGATACCTGTGACATTCCGGGACAATTAGTCTAAACTATCAACTCTACATTAAAAAATTCAACTCTATGTTCAATTTTAGCATAAAAGAATTAATGTATGGTATATATATATATATATATATATATAAACCGATTATTTTTCTTCTAAAAATGTTATCAACCATGAATGAAGGTAAAATAGAAACATAAAATGATATAAAACCAAAACAACAAGACATAATTTCTTAAAATTGTATAAGAGTAGAAACAAATAATTTGCATATTAAAATAAGAGTGATGTACGTATAGACAATACAAAACGTTTCACTTATAGGTAGAAATTATAAAGAAGGTCGGTCAACTCACTTTTTTTAATTTTTTTTAAAAATTTCCCCTCGGTCAACCTAAATTTTGAATTTTTATTTTTTAAAATTTTTCATTAGTAGGGAAATGCCTTAAAGATTGAGATACTACCCTATTAATAAAAAATACTAAAAAGCCTAAAAAATTTAAAATTTGAGCTGACTTGGGGCAAATTTTGGAAAAAATAAAAAAATGTGGGTTGACCGATCTTTATAATTTCTTTTTATAAACGAAACATTTTGTATTTTACCTAAAATTTTAGAATTTATAAGTAAACCACTATTAAAATAATAAACATAATTTCTAAAAATTACATAAGAGAAGAATCAAATAATTTGCACATACAATTCTACCCAATAAAAAGAAGCATATACAATTCTACCCAAGAATAAGATGAGAGAGAAAAAAGAAACCTAAAAGAGAGAAAAGGAGGTGAGGACAAGGGTATACAGACCCAAGAGGAAGAAATGTCCCTAGGGTTAGGTGATTTTAAACTTTGGTTGTCTCATAAGAACATGTGAGAAATGAAATCATGGCATATGGATTAAAATATGATCAAGAGAGAGAGAGAGAGAGAGAGAGAGAGAGAGAGAGAGAGAGGAGGAGGAAGGTAGGTGGTGGTGTAGAGTGGTAGGTGTGACGACGTCGTACGTACGTTCTTTCGTACGTACCGTACCGACGTACCTAACTAACCTAAAACCCGTA